TATGGATGATTTGGTCTGCACGTAATGCTAAGGTTTGGAAGGGAGTGAGACGCTCTCCCTTGGAGGTCTGGACGCGGACCTACAGAGACTATGAAGACTGGTGGAGGATGGCAACCCCTAGGAATTCCACAACGACTAATCTTAGAGCTGAACCTGGTGCAACAAAGGGATGGGAGAGGCCACCGGTGAATTATTTAAAGGTGAACGTGGATGCCTCATCAGGACTTGTTGATAGGTATGTAGGCCTGGGTTTTATTGTGCGAGATTATGAAGGCCGATTCGTAGCTGCTAAAAGTATTAAATGTAGAGGGAGTTTTGGTCCACGTGAAGCAGAAGCCATCGCAGTTAAGGAAGCACTTAGTTGGATTAAAAGTAAAGGCTGGAAACAAGTCCTTGTGGAAACAGACTGTAAGGAGGTTGTCGATTCACTTAATAGTACTATCATGGACTGGTCTTACTTTAACTCTATCATTGAAGATTGTAAGCGTCTCCAAATGCTCTGTGCAGGAGACCTTAATTTTTGTTTTACTCCTCGCTCCGGAAACGAGGCAGCGCATTTGTTAGCGCGTAGTAGTTGCAATGATGATGTTGTAGGGGAGTGGTTTGACACACCCCCAAACTTTATTCCTTTGATTTCCTAATTTAATTATTTTGTTTCAAAAAAAAAAAAAAATATTGGCCCTTAGTTTCAAAAGATCCGTGCCCGTATAATAATAATAATAATAATAATAATAATAATAATAATAATAATAATAATAATAATAATAACAACAACAACAACAACAACAACAAGTAATAATATAATATACTCCCTCCGTCCCAATTTATAGTGCCTGTTCCGGTTTACGATGTTTGATTGAAATTATTTTCAAAGGATTTTATATGACAAATGGTATATAGTTAAAAAATAAAAATTACGAAGTACATATTAAAATACTATATCAAAAGATCTACAAACTAGTAGTGACAATAGTACTTTATTTTATCAAATTACTAATGAAAATCGAGAAAGAAAGTGAATGAAGTTTGACTATGTGAATAGTGAACATGCACCATAAATTAGGACGGAGGAAATAATATTTTAGTAATTGATTAATAAAAGAATTACTGTTGGGTTTGTGGTGGGGATGAGCAACAGCAACACTTGAAAGAGAGGCACAACCCATAGAAAAGGGAAGAATTCTAAACCTTTCCACTCTATTATTTGCTCCTCTCATTCTCTTTTCAATTCACCAATTGGATCTCCAAATAGTACCCTATTTATAATTGTGTATGATATATGTTATAATATGATAATTGAAGAAGCAAAGGGGAAAAATTCAGTAAGATAAGACACATGATTATGTGTGTGGCTTTGGCTTACAATTGAATCAAAGATGTGACTCACATACCAAACACACAAAAAATACTTCATCTATATATCAAATACTCCTGGCTTACCTGACTTAATTTAAATTGTCTGTTTCAGTTTACGATATTTGACTAAGTTGTTTTTCATTACAGCTAATTTTAGAATTTGGATGAAATTTTAAAATAAAAATTACACATTAGAAATTACGTCAAAAGTTTTACGAAACAAGATGTGACATGACCATATTATTTTATCAAACGAGTAACAAAAATAGGGAAAGAAAATGAATAAAGTTCGGCCGTGTAAATAGTAAACATGTAACTTCATTTGTGACGTAGAGAGTATTTAAATGATCATTTTGACTGTCACTAAATTTAAAAAAATAAAATTGTATATTTACTTTTTTTTGCATTGTAAGTCATGTTTTGGTATAAAAACTAAAAAAAATTTCTATTTTAGTATATGGATCATATTTTAGGTTGTTTTTCTTTGTTATATGTTTAAGATATCAATTTGTTATGATGTGTTTCCCAAAAAAAAGTACTCCCTCTGTCCTTTGGATCTTCCAACTTTGACTTGCACAGTCAACTTTTCAAAATTTAGACCACAAATTATATAAATAATATATTAAGTTGTGATTTGATATAAATTTAATAACAATAGGTTTATCTTGAAATATAATTTTGAAACATATTATATATCTTTATATAAATAAAGATATTAATGATCAAAATATAATTTTCTCTATCTTGATTTAGTTGTCAATTTCCACTTTTTGTGTGTTGTGCTTCAAAATTAGGTGTCAATTTTTATATTTGAGTCAAACTCTCCTCCTCAAAAATTTCCGTAAAATTTAAATAGTGAAGAGTGTAATTCTTTTTGAGATGCGGGGATTAAAAAATTAAATAGTGTGGTGAGTATATAGACACTTAATAGTTACATACTGCCTGTATTTCTTTTATTTTGGATAATATATCAAGTTAGGCATTTTTTTGGATAATCGTTTTCAATTGGTATTAATATTTTAGATATTTTTTACTCGTACAAATTAACTTTAAAAATATTAAAATTACATACTGTCATTAAATAACTTTTTCAAAATGCTGAAACTATTGCGGAAAAGAACCTTAATATAGTGACTCCAAGGCCAAGTTGAATGTTACTTCAATGGGACTCCACTTTATACCTTTGGTCTCTCATGTGTATTTGAACTTTGAAGCAATGCACACTTTACGTTGGATTGAATTTTCTCACTTTGTTTGGTTGGCACTCATCACCATATGAACCCATTGATTGAGTAAATTCATTTTTGAAAACAATTTTTGTTGTCGGGTGACGACTCAAATTAGAGCATTTACGACACTTTGTTCGCAAAATTGATAATCTCTCCTCTAATCCTCTTAAGGCTATGTTCTCTTCACCTGACTGAAATAAGTTTTAATCTGATCTGAATATAGTTATATTTAAAACTTTTTCAAATCTAATCTGGTCTGACTTGATCCGATTACAATAAAAATAAATAATAAGTAAAAACAGTAAGTTGATGAGAACCTGACCTAAGCCCCCTGCCCCCCACTCTAGCCCTCCGCACCCCATCCATGTCCCCTGGATAGAGGTGTGGGATTTAAGAGGATGTTTATAAGGGTATGAATTATGAACGGAACACCGTAAATGCTCTAATTTGAGTTGTCAAAATATGACATCATAGTTTATTGTCAAAATAACCAAAGTGCTCTTTTGAGTACATGTTATGTTTTACGCCTAAACTTTAGGAAACCAAAGTTTGTTGTCAAAGTAAATAGATTATATTGTTTACCTAAACACCCTAACATGCACTTAAAGACAGTTTGCAAAGTGTGCATGGAAGAACATCATAATACCATTCTGAGTGCATTTACATGCGTTTGACAACAATTACAGAGCATTATTTATGTTCTAGAAGAGGAAGAAAAAAAACACATTCAGATTCTGAATTTAAAAAAAAAAAACCATTCTTAAGTTATAGCTCCGAATTAGTCCGAAAAATGTTGCCAAGATCTCACAGATCACTGGAGAGACTGTTTGGCAAAGGGGAGAAACGGCTTACACAGTTCAACGACATGCTCTACACACAAAGCGGTAATGCTAAATGAAAAGTGAAGGGAAATTGAGGGCAGTCGTGCGTTGCTCTATTTCGCCTGTGGGTGTGAGGCGATAAAGTCAACCGCAAGACTGATTGTGTTGATCTTGTCTGCTTCATTGTCGGGGATCTCAAAAGAAAACTCTTCTTCCAGGGCCATAACAACTTCCACAGTATCCAAGCTATCTAAACCAAGATCATTTTGGAAATGAGCATTTGGGGTGACCTGCAAGATAGTACAAGAGAGAGCACTTTATTAAACACAGACCCTCTGAATCAGCAGCACCTGAATCTTTTGAGGCTATGCTGGAAAATGGTAGAGAAAGGAAACAAGTGCCAATGAGAAAACTAGTAAATACCAAGGATTCAAACTTCTTAGATTTTTAGAGTTCTTAGGTGAATACTCAATGAGATCTATAAGGTAGTATCGGGGTTCATCATTCATGCGTCAAATAAAGTTCACAGCTAATCAAATGCGGATTAAAAGCAATACTAATAGCTAAAGTAAATGAGATTTCATATCTAATAGACCAAGTGGCACTTTCTAGAACTAAAAAGTCCTATTTCGATGCAACTAACAATGTATTTTTTTAATAATGCATTTAGACCTGCAAGAGTTTTATGGGTAGGGTTGTAGAATATAATGCTATGGAGCACAATCTGATTTAATTACAAACGATCAAGTACCATTCGTTTGGTGTTGGGTGTCTATACTCTATAGCCAAAGTGGGTGCATCCACATGTATCAAATATTTTCATCTCCATTTTATTACCCTGTTTAAAGCCAGTGGCTTCCCAAAAGAGGCATGCACTTGAGCTGAAATTTACTTTAAAAGTTTACTACTTCGCCAAATGCCAATAACTTTTTTTTTAATTTCTGGGGTACTTAAGCATTAGATACGTAATGTCCAGCTCCTGCAAGCTATTAGTCTTCATGTAAAATAACATGAAGCATCGTTTTTTGCATCTGTTTGATAGCAATGAGATAGAAGAGAAAGAGAGTACATAGAGTGCAATATTACGGACCCTGATGCTCCTAGTTTCCCCCATTATGTGTGGACACATGAAGGGTAATGCTACGCATTTACCATTTCAAGCTTGTTCTTGATACTATGAAGTTAGAGTAATGAGAGAATGTAGTTTTATTACAAAAAATCACTTAAGCCCAAACCTTCCCTCTATTTCCACTCTATTTCTGTTCAGCCAAAAAAACATCAGTTTCTCTCTACTTCTCTCTTGTTTCATTTCTTTTCCCACAAACTACTACTTCTCCCTCTATGTCTTTTATTACTTCCACACACATCATTAGTCTTTTACAGTCCCCGTATTGCGTATTCTCCGAACCAAGAAAAGTTCGACAAAATTTGCAATTTGCATTTAGAGAAAAAAGAAATTACAGGTCTCTTAAGAGAGAATTATTTCGTATCTTTTATTTTATTGTCAAGTGTCAACAACACAATTTAACATTATATCCCTCTTGCAAAATAATTTTCAATAAAGTTAATCATTACCTCAGCCACAGCACCTCACTATCCCTAAAAGCTATGAAAAAAATATACTCCGTAATAAGCAATTCAATTGCCTGTATATATTTTCAGGTAACATGTTCAAAATCCATCTTTCTTCACAAAATAATCGAGACTGTAAATTAGCACAACACATCACAAACAACCTAGGACCATTCTTCTGTTGCATAAGTAACACATTATATAGCTAGCTCCATTTGGCCCCTACATTTTCAAAAATCAGCACCAACAGATATCCCTTTTCACAAACTATTCAAGCTAACAAATAAGCTAGACAGCATAAAACATCAAAAATCATCCGAGAACATAGTTCTGTTTGAAAAAATTGGTGCATTCAGTAGCCCCATATAGCCACCCAACATAAAGAGTCCACACAACCTAGTTCAACAAATTACACAAGATGAAGCTGAAACCCAAACTAAAAGAAGGAACTAAAACAAACAGTATCAAAATACCATTCTATTCCAAACGAATGAAGCTTTCTGTTCTCCCAATACAATCGTTCTGGCCACTAATACAAACAATAAGCCTTCAACAAAGTAACAAAAAACATACTCTATCATGCTATGAGCCTTAGCTCACAAACTCATTTATGAGACCCTCTGGATTTCCAATCACGAACCAACAAAGTTCATTACAATAAATCTGGACTCTGAACTGATTACTTACTACCATAAACTTAATCATTCATCTCAATCGAACGAATTGTTGATCAATACACACCTAAAAAATGAGGGTTTTTAAAAAGCTACGGGTAAGAAACAATTGGAAGACGGAGAAATGGGGGAGACAGAGTACCTTAGCGGGATCGACTTTCTGAAAGTTCTTGACGACGGTGATGACGCGGTCGGTGACTTCGGATTTGTCGAGGAAGGAGCCCCTGGCCTGCTCGCAGAAATGGCGGCCTGCTCCGATCAGCCGCGCCAATGGGCCGCCCGGGTTAGGGGTAGGGTTTCGCAGTGCGACGACTTCCACTCTCAGGTGCTTTAGCAGGGCGTTCTTCAATGCCGCCGCCATTGGAAGTGAATTGAGAGCTGGGCGGAGATCTGAAGTGCGAGCCGCGATGGGGGAGAAACACTGAACTGTAAAGGGCTGGCAGTCCAGAGTTTATAATAGACCCTGGGTTGTATGGGTGGCTAACCCGAAACTGTTGTTCCGACTCGAAATATCTCGATCTCGTCCGGTTTCGTTTTGTTAGGGATGACAAAATTTTGTCCCAAATCCAATCCGAACCGTTTTAAAGTAAGACAAGACTATGATACATAAATATTTTCTCGTTCCGTCCCGTTGTCTCGTATACATATGTACATATATCTACTTACTTCCTCTGTCCTATAATGTTATTCGCGTTTCTGTTTACGAGGTTTGACCGACTTTATTTTTAATTCAATTTATTTGATTGTAGGTATAAAATTAAAAAATAAAATTTATATATTTAAAAACTACATCAAAAGTTCTACAAAACAAGTGGTGACAAGACTATATTACTTTATCAATTACCCAATGAAAATAGGTAAAGAAAGTTATTAAAGTTTAACCATGTGCAAAGTAACTGGGAAGAACATTTTAAGACGGAAGGAGTATTTATTTATATAATGATATAACACACAAAAAATATCACAATTTTTGTTTTTCATATTCGAATATTCTAGAAAAATGAACTAAGACCGGGACACCATAAAATCAAGACAGTTCTAACCTGGCTCACCCCAATTTGTGGCTCGGCTTATAGTCTTGACTTTTGACGTATGTTGTAACATTTTTCATGTTTCCTTCTTAACTTGGCTTTTTAAAAATATTCTAAATAAATATATCATTTTTTTCATTACCTTTCAAGTCAAAGTGAGGTGCCTCCCTCGTATGTATTTTATATTTTTATATCAAACTTTGGATAATGACAAAGTATGACAACTCGAACCTGATCTATTTTATCTCGATCCCGAATATTAAGAGATAAAGAGGGGTAAGCTTGTGGCTTGAATCGTTCCGAACCGAAAAACGGGACAAAACGCAGGACGGTATAAAACCCAAACCGTCTCGACCAGTGCTCACCCTTTAGGTTAAAAAAAGGAGAAAGTTTGAGCAGAAAATGAAGAAAAGAAAAAAATATATAAACACTTCCTTCCTTCTCTAATACTCTATCCGTCTTAAAAAGAATATCCCGATTTGACTTGATACGAAAATTAAGAAAAGGTTAAATGTGTAAAAACTTTCAATGTTTTATATTTGATGTGATAAAATAAAGTGAGTAGTATAAAAAAGTAGGTCTAATGGCACATTTATTAAAATCTTTTTTCTAAAATTAAAAATGAGGAAAAAAATTTTGGACTACAGATTCTCAAAGATGTACTACATTTAAACAAAATTGTTTTTTGGGCAGATTCATATTCATATTTTGTTTTATACTTTAGGAGTAGAGTGATGTTCATATAGTCCTAAAGTCCATATTTAAAATATTGACATTCTCATATTTTTATGAGCTTTAATATAGATATTTTCTTTTCTGAAGAGACCCACTTTTGTATGCTACAAATACACTAAAATCTATATAAGAAACATCCACCTTAGGTCTAGGGAAGAATTTGCCTACAGAATAAGACATTCTTTGGCGGTCTTTGGGTCCAAATTTTCCCCCCACATTTGTCTCTTTTTGGAAAAAGGTATATAGGCCAAAATAGCTCTATGATGAACAAATTTTTACCACTCACTTTTCACTTTTAACGCCCCGCAAAAAGTCAAAACACAGAAACTAATTTGAAAATTGAAACAAAGAGACTCAAACTATGCACCACTATATACCTAGTTAACCATGGCCAGGAAATGAGGCAAATCATCACTAATAAGGTACTATGTCTCTCATAATCCTCACTACATTGTTTCAAGAGTTCAAATAATTTCCAAAAAAGGAAAAAAAAAGAATGAGCAAAAGGTTTCTGTCAGTAAAAATATTACCCTGTAATTATATTCTCAAAGCCAAGGCACTCCTAAACTGTTTGGGGGTATATATATATTATATATGAACTTGCAGTTATAGAGGTGGGTAGAAATAGGACGACAATGAAAACCCGAGGAAGAGCAAGCCCCCGACGGTTGCAACTGTCCGCTGCGAAATCTTGGAGGCCAACATGCTTCCCCCCACAACTGCAACGGATGTACAAATCGTGTGCCCAATGGTGGCCCCCGCGGCGACTCCGATTGCATTTTTGTGTGTCGCTAGCTGCAGAATGAGAGAAGGGTGGAGAATGTCATTTGAGCTTAGAATCCATTATTGATCTGACCCCTCAACTATATACTACCTCCGTCTCTGAGTATTTGTCCAATTTTGACTTTTTTTGGTCAACTGTTTTCAACCTTTGGCCTATAATTAAATAAAATATACATTGTATTTTAATTAAATAAAATAATACTTTGAAAATATTTGATATAATAAATCTAATAAAACTCTTTTTGTATCAATATCTAATATCATTTTTATTTAATTTGAGGTCAAATTTTACCAATTTTGACCGAAAAAAGTCAAAAGTGGACAAATACTCGGGGACAGAGGAAGTACATATTTTTGTCTTTTTCGGGCTTGTTTGGCAACAGTTTCAGCGTTTAGCTTTAAGCATTTAGAAAAGGTTATTTAGCTTTAAGCATTTAGAAAAGGTTATCTAATGGCATCGTTTAGCTTTAGCTATTCCAACGTTAATCTGCACCATTAAAAAATTATTCAAAATGCTAGCGCTAATTGAAAATACTGTTCCCAAACAAGTCCTTGGTCAGGACTTTCTTTTTGACTCTTCCTCCCACAGCTACACAATTTAGTTAACTAAACAGGGGGCAAATAAGATCCTATGATGAGTAAATTGGATCCAAATTTCATAGGGGAGCAAATTGAGTCCAAAAAAAATGAGAACCAAATTAAGTGTAGAGTCGAGGTGCCCCTCGGATATTAACCCTTTAGGTAACTATATCCACAAGAACCAAGTGTATTCCCCTATCAGGTTTCTCTTTTTGTTAATATAATTGATGTAAAGACCCTGGTTAATCCATGTCTAGGCATTAGTCGTCTCCTCGGGCATCTATGTGTTTTTTTTCTTTCGTTTAATTCACAAATTGCTATGCAGTTAATCCACTTAACCCACCCCCACCACCCAAAGATTATTCCGTGCTTTTCATAACATATATGCCTTAATAATGCCTGCTCCAAGAATAAAGGGGGAAAACTGTCATTATTTAAAATAATGATGGTTGTTTCCCTTCATTCTTAGAAGGGGCATATCATTAACAGAAGCAAAACCCAAAGCGTGAAACAAAAGAATATTATCCATCTATGTGAACAAAGATTTAACGAAACAATTACTTACAGCAATTGTTGCTATCTGGCTACGGTCTCCCCATTCTGCTAGAAATGTCAAGATAAATGACTGCATATAAATTCAGAATATGCACAAGACAATTCGTAACTAAATACTGATCTTAACGATTCAAAACAAGGATATACCACTAAATACTTGTTTGATGAAGCAAACATAATAGTAATAATTATTATAAATAGCATAGTTTACAGTTTACACAACTAATTAAGATGCTCTTACATAATATTGTACACATAGCTATATGCACAAAGCATACCTCCAAATATATCGGGGTACAAAACCTAGAAAAGAATCGCCTGATTGCTGTTTTCCCCTGTCCACCATCAAGTTTCTCTTCCACCTGAAACATTTGAGACACATTGAGAGACAAAAATTGGAACAGTTTTGAGCCAATGAGATAAAGGAAGAAAAGCAGCTACTAAAGTAACAAGAACAGTTTTCTTTTCAATGGTTGTTTACTCATAGAGAGTTGACGCCAACATACTTCCTCTATTTCCTTTTTCTGGGATGCTTTTGGATCTGCCCTCCATGCAATGTAAAGTAGTCGAAGCCCAAAAAATGCATAAAGAACTGCATGAAGCATGAAGCTGAGATTTATAATTATCAAATAGATCTGACCCAGACCAGATTGTCATCCACTTCAAAATCATGAAACCCAGATGCCATGTTCGGAACTAGCAAAGAGAATGTTTTTTTATATAAATTTGATTCAAAACTTTTCAGAATTTATATAAATTGAATTTAAACAAATGTGTAAAATCAATTTATGGACTCGAAAACAATTTTCAGAGTTCCAAACAGACCCAAACTGAGTTCTAGTTAGCAAACAATATGTGAGATTGCATGCCTGTAGCCGCGCTGTTTGTATGTTTCCTTGATATCAAATTAGGCACAATCCTGCCAAGTCCAGTTGAAAGTATCTGTTTTACACGCGTAAAAATCCTAGTAATCTTTAGTATTACAAATTTAACTTCCTAGAAGAACCTTACCAATGAACATCAAAATATGGAAAATTGACTTATAGAGAGAAGAGATTGGATGAGTTACCGTCATTATAAACAAGGCACTAAGGGCACCAGATAGAACAATTGATTTAGGATGGCGCATTGCCATGAGAGCTGCTATTATAAACGTCTCATCACCAATCTAGAAGCATAGCCATCCATGAAATAACGATTAATCCAGAATATCGAAATATAATGGGAATGGCATGTAAGTACCACAATTCATATGCCTAGCTAGCTTTGGCTTGGAAAAATTAAGCTCTCTCAAAAGAAAAGCAGAGGTTATTATTATTAAAATAATGGATATGAAGTCCCATATTTGATTTCAATTAAATAACTCAGATTATCTGGAAGTTAGAGTTGTAAGATAACAGAAATGGCAATAAGAAATGCGGGAGTTGAACCACTAACCTCGCTGACAAGGATCATGGACAAACTTGCAAATAAGGCATCAAATATCCCAAGACCTGAGTCCAAGTTGAGGGCAAGGCTAATAGAATCAGGATCATTTTCACCATGTGTCTCGCCAGTCTTAAGATTGTCTACAAGAATCTGTTCACCAAAATATGAGCATGAAAATAACCATTGAATTGCATTATCAGCTCTAGGAATATATACAACACCAAATATTAGACAAGTAGTAATTCTTGTTATGTGATCCGGACTGGTTCAATTTGGTTAAACCTTAAAGTCGTTTTCTTGGAAAGTACTCAAAATGACAATATTTTCACATTTTTATTCTTAAATAGCCTTGATCCTTAGTTCATTGGAATTAGTTAGAAAGACCCAACACTTTATCATCATCATCATCACCTAAATCCATAGTTCCAAACTACTGCAACTACAAATTAAAAGCTACCATATAGACTTCACTTAAAGGACTTACCTCAAATATACAAACTTTGATGACTGGACGAGTCATGATTGACAATGTCCACCGGCAGATGCAAGATAATACATAAACAATAGTAAAAGATATATAACACACCAAAAGGTCTAAGCAATGTTTATCTCAATTCTCACATCTACAAGTGTAAGCTGATGATGGAGAGGTGCTAACGTTGACACGAAAGGACCTCGATCTAATCGAACAAATTGGACAAGAATTTGTAATTACACAATACGACTAATACACCATTATGGCAATGATGATTCCATCTCCTCTCTCACTATCATACAATAAAATCTTACAACACGAAGACTATGTCGACATCAATTTGAAGACTAGTTTAACTTAATTAGATGTAGATCATCTTAATAAAAATGCAGGGGCATCAGCTTCAGAACCAACCCACTATTATAAAATTCACAAATTCGAATCCGGTTCTATTATAAAATTCACAGAAAACCCACTATCTAATTCACATTCATCAACACATACAATCTTGGTTCTTTTATAAATCTCACAAAAAACCAACTATCTAATTCAGGAAATTATCACCCAATTCGAATCGGGTTCTCAACAAGAGCAAAAAATACTCACTTTACTGCGACGCCCCAGATCTCTAATCCTCCCGCTCGACTCTTCTGTTCCAGCTCCATCCCCGTTTTCCTAAGAATTACCAGAATCCAAACAGCAGAAAACATCATTCAATGCGCGCCCAGGCCTGCAATTGAGACAAGAGGCGCGAACAGAAAATACCTGAGCAGAAATCAGCTCGGCAGTGAACAGAAGAAGTAATAGGGTCAGGAAGGGGAGAAAGGCGCCCGTTCTCGAACCCATTACCGCGACTCCTTACTTCTTCACCAGACAATTGGATTCTGTAGGTGAATCCAAAGAAAGTGAAGAAGAAGAGAGGAGGGCGGGAAGGTGGCGGAGATGGAGGTGGGGTTTCCCGGGATCGCAAAAGAGAAACCAGAGATCTCTATTCAGACATTTCTGAATCGCCGGTCATGGGAGAAGACGCTGATCGGAACTCGTCGGTGTCTGCATTTGGCAAATACGCATACCAATTGCCAATTGGGTTACAACTTACAATAGAATAACACCTACACATTTTTTATTAGAATTAATTTTTAGATAAAATTAATCTTACACCAAATATATTTGATGAAAGATTGTTACACCAATTTAATTGTTGTATCTACGATGCTTTAATCATAAAATTAATTGTTTCAACCCCTTCTAACTCCCTGTAAATCCTAGCTCATTCCGTCCCTAATGCACCCGATTCAATTGAATCGCCTAAATTTTGTTGACTTCATGGTCAATTTTTTTACTTCAAATTTTTTTGGTGCAATTGGCGGGAGGTGCAGGGGTGCGTAGGGGATGAGTCGGGTATGTGGGATTTGTCAGGATTAGGGGAATATAAATAATCAATTTTTAAAATTAGTGTAATAATTTTACACAGTTCAATTTGTGTAATGTTGTTGTCACTAACTCTGATGCCTAATGTTGTTGTCAAATTAGGTTATACTTGTCTTACTTATTTTTATTGGGATTAAATCATATTAAATCTAATCATAAATAACTTTAAATATAACATCAGACTATATCAGAGCAGATCAGAATTTATTATAATCAGATCAGAACCATTTAGATTAGTTGAAGAGAACATGACTTAACCCTCAAGGTTTCGGTTCAGAACTAGAATTGAAAACTTCGCTTCCAAAATTTTAGTTTTCAAAATCAAACTAGAATCATAATTGAAATCATTCAAGAATTAGAATTAGAGAAATTTCCCTAAATAGGACTAAAACATAATGACTTTCCCAATATAGGACCATATGTTTTTATTTCTCAATATAGGACCTTTAGTCATTAGCAAGAAGTCATTATTCAACTAAATGTCCATCATTACTGGACATTATTCCTTCCACCAGGTCATTATTAAGTCTTATTTAGGGAATAAAAAAGTTTAAGTCCTACATTGGGAAAGTCATTATGTTTTAGTCCTATTTAGTGCAAATTTCACTTAGAATTATGTAAAATTATTAGAGAAGAGTTCTAGTTCGAGTTCTCACTTTTACGTAACATAAATTAAATCACCTTGAACCAAAGTCAATTCATTGTTTTTTAGTTTTTTTTGCTTTAAATGTTTATTTTCATTTATTAAAGGTCAATTCGCAATATAATATTTCCCAACAAAAAATAGTATAGAATAAAATATAATAATATTCCCAGCAACATATTTCTAAAAAATTCCAAAATCGGTTGAGAACTGTCATGAAATCATTCTGGTTACACTTTGATGGGATTAACCCGATCAGATGGCGGACCAAGAACGGAATATGAATTAGGAAGATATAATCACTCGATAATATTCTTTGATTATGTATTGAAATGTCTTGTTGTGACCTGCCTTACAATGACGGGGTCTTCCCCTTTTTATAGTACTTCTAATAATATAATTAAAATTATACAAAATGGAAAGGATTATAGAGATCGTGGGGTTGTGATTCCCTCTTTTCCGGTCTCGTTCTCTTCCCACTCTGTCTATGACCCAATGACGTGGGCCACGTGTCCCACTCCTTTCTTGGACTGGGTCACCTTAATTTATTCCCTAACTGGGCCGTCTTTCTCTATCCGCTGTATGCGTAATTTCGGGCTCAGCTCGTTATCTCCATCTGACTCTATACCTCTTGGGTTATTATGGGCCTTCGTTTGGGCCTGGAGTCGGGTCTACCAGACCCGATATCCATCACAAGCCCCCTAGTTTTCTGGCGACGTGTCGCTAGAAAACTAATGATGAGCCGCCTTCGATCTTCGTGTCGGATTAGAAACGTCGCACTCGAATACCTCGGGTCCACCCTTTTAACGGATAAAAACCCTCTCTGGACTCATCTTCTTCCTCTCGCTACTGAATCTTAACCCGACCCGAATTCCGACTGCAATTTCCCCAAAATCATTGTCTCCTTTTCCGGAATGGCCCCTACAAATCCCGAAACCTGGACCCACGAACCCTCAATTATCAAGGAGAACGAACTTCGAGAGATGGTCGCGCTCCTGGGCAAAGGCTTCCGGGTCTGCCATCCCGATGCCGTTGGGGGAATCAGTTTATCTTACAACCCGAATCCCCAAAAATATATGGTCATGCATTACCACTCCGTGGAGAATGGATTTAGGTTGCCCCTCCACGGCCTGCTCCGCGACCTCTGCCTCCATTTCGGATTTGCTCCGGGTCAATTGACTGCCAACGCGCACAAGTACGTTGCGTCCTTCATCTTGCGGTGCTGTGCCCTGGACAAAACCCCGAAACTGGACGAATTCCTTCTCCTCTTCAGTATCGGTGGTTTCCCCTTTTACAGCCTATACCCCCATAACCATTTTCCCATTTTTGAGAAGGTTGAGCTCAAGATCGACAGATGGTCACTGAAATACTTCGTTATTGAGTTTCCGGCTCACAGTCCCATCGATCTGCCGGGTGTTGTCCTCCGCCGTTCCATTTCCCGGACGAAATTCGCCACAGCAGACTTGGCGGAGGGAGTGTATAATGCATTGAAGGAGAAGGAGGGTTTAATTTCCCACCACTCTCTCCAAGATGCTAAACTGTACAAGAAGGCAGGTTTTTACTACCCTCTAGGTCCTAACCTGATTCCCTTTGAGGGGGTGCCTTCTCCTGAGAGATCGAAGGCTTCTCCTGTTGCAGAGTCTACCCCGGCTGCGAGCTCTTCCAGGGACCAACCCCAAGGCAACTCCACAGCCTTAACTATCTGCAAACCGGCTATCGCCTTGGAGGTCACTCCCATCTCTGCCATCCCTGGGCTTAGGAGACCTATTCCATCCCAGAAACGACCAAGAGAGGGAGTCACTAATGATGACTTCCTACCAAAGAAGAATAGGGGTGATAGTATCTCTGTTTCGCCCAGCCCTCCCTCAACCTCTTCTGGTCCTCAGAACACTTCTTCTGCTGCCACTCTCGGAAGTTTAGGGCTGGAGTTACCCAACCCGGAAAGTCTGGATCATGAGGCAGATGAACTTCCAGGCCAGGCGTCACTCACAAGACCAGCGGTGCAACCTCAGCTTGATACAAACGATCCCCTCCCTCAAACTGCATCTGCCCCCCTAGAACTGGAGGAAGAAGCTGAGGGACAGCAGGAACCAGAGTCTTCTCCTGCAGTGGAAAAGGAAGTTGAAGTGCAGACAGAAACGGAAATCCCCTCCCCAAAGGAGGATGAGGTTGGAGAGCAGAGGGACGCTGAAGCTCCTTCAGAGATGGAGAGAGAGACTGAGAAACGACCAGAGCCGGAGGGACAGTGTTCTACGGCCTCACTCCCGGCTCCTAATATCCCCATCCGGCGCAAGTTCACGTCGCTGACCTATCTCGTTTTTACGGAAGGCTGGGAAAGCTTCTCCCGCGGTTTGAGGTCCCTTCAGGCCTCCCATTGGACCATCCAGGAAAACCTTGAGAGGATGAGGGAATCCGCGCGGGAGCCTACAGCTCCCCAGGCTTGCCCCGACCTGCTTGCCCTCAATGCCCTGCACCTCATGGAGCAGGTATTCTTTCCCTCCGAAATTTTCTTCACCTCCTTTTAGGTTAGTTCTTTTCCTTGACTTCCCTTTCCTTCCTCTAGGCCCAGCAGTCGCTCCTTACCCTGACTGAGGAGTACATAGGTGGAGCATCTGGAAACTTTCGGGCTGTTGTGCTCCTGAGGGAGAGGGATCTGGTTGCCAGGGCCTTGCAGCAGAAGATCAACTCCCTGGAACAACAGGTCCGGGTCCTGCAAGAAGAGAATGCTCGGCTCAAGGTAGATGGCCCAATGGAGCTTGCAGCTGAGAGATCCAAGGCCCAGTCCTTGCAAGAGCAGATTGCCAATTTCCAAAAGGAGACCCAGGATCTAGAAGTGCAGTTTGACAGATTCCGGGCACAAATCTCCCTCCTGGAATCAAGGGTCTCAGCTTCAGAGGGCCAGGTAGGAAGCCTGGAAGCTGAGTTGACTGAAAGGGAATCCCGGATCTCTGAGCTGGAGAATTCCCTCCAGGTGGCCAAGTATGAGGGTTCCCGTCTTAACGAACTCGCGTTGAAGCACATGGAGGCGAGACGGCTTACCCTCGAGAAGTTGAAGGAAGAGAGACAAACTGCAAGCGAGCTCCGGTCAAAGAAGGATGAACTGGAGAAGGCTATTGCTGCCCATCAAGAGGAAGTTGCAGGCCTGACTGCCTGTGCTGAAGCCCTTTATGAAGAGGGGAAATTTGACATGCAACACTGCATTTATGAGGCCATCCAGAGTGGTCTTCCAGCTCACCGATCCTTGGATGATTTCATCTCATACTACGGTTTACCTCTTCCTCTTTCTCCCCCGGATTCTCGTGTGGACCCAGGGTCTTGACTTTATCTTTCTTTGTTGACTGTTGCATTTTGCTTTGTAACATTTAGATGGCTGTAACTTGATAACGCTTGATGTATTTCCGTCTTCACAGACTCCTTTTATTAAGCTAACTGTTCTCCTTTTGGGATTCTTGTTCTGCCCTATGACTTAGCAGATTTTGTTTATCCGCATAGGCTTTGGGCTTAACCGCGTTCATAACATACTGTTTCCCTTGTTCTCCATTACGCTAAATGACTGGCCCACCTTAATTTTGCCGGGCCCAATTCACCTTGGCCCAATGATAAGATGGTGGAACCCTAGCTTTCCTCGGGAATCCGCAACTCCCTCCCAATCGGATAAGCGCTTTGGCTCCGCGTCCCTTGCACTTCTCCTTTGGGATTATCCGCCTATTTAAGGGACTAGGCTAAGCCCCTCCAATATCACAATCAATTTCTCAACATGGCTAATAACGCCAATAGAGTTGTCTTTATTGATCTTACTATTTCTGATTCTTCTTTTGATTCTTCTTCGTTGGCATTCCCTTCACTTGGGTCCCCAACACCTGAGCTCTCTTCTGGGCCTTCTCTTGCCTCTGAACAATTGGTAACCTCTCCCTTGCCTAGAGAAGAGAATAACCCTCATCACCGCCCACAGGCATCGGGGAGTGTTCCTCCGGGTCCCGACGTGCTTCCTAACGGTGCCAGGGCGGAAGTTTCTTCTGGCTGTCCTGGCACTTCTCGTCCGCAGAAGAGACGCAATCCCCACTCAGGAGCTTCCGGGCTGGTCTCCGGTGCGAGGCCTTCTTCTCAGGGTTCTCCCCTTCCTCAGCAGTCATATGCACAGCAGCTTGAGGAGTGGGGGGACTATGACATGGGAGGAAACAGGCTCCCATTTATACGCAGGGAAAAGGATGGGACCTTCCGGGATCCGCCTCCTCCTCCCGTATAAGGGGAGATAGGCCTGGAGTCCTTCCCTCATGCCCTAGCGCCCTCTCTGTCCGCCTTCATGGGAATGACTGGATGGTATCCACGGGGATGGCTTTTAACCCCTAACCCGTTGATACCATTCTTCTTCTTGTGAATGTCATGAAGTGTCTTCGGCGGACACTCTCCATGCCTCCCTGCTCTGGGGTTCTTTTCTGGTTCAGGCAGAGGAACCGCACTCCTTCAGATTTCGGAAGTGCCGATCCGCCCTGCCTTGAATTTTTTTTTCTTTTTGCAGTAGGATAGAAGTAGATCAGGGACAAAGTTCATTACTGTAACCCAAAAGAATGTAACCTTCCATTTGAGTTATTTAATGAAAATCTTTATCTCCTGTCTCTTTTTTTGTTTCGTTGTTTGATCAGGGATAAGGCCCATTACTGTTACCCAAAAGAATGTAATCTTCTGTTTGAGCTATTCAATGGAAAGAACCTTTATCTCCTCTCATTTAATATAATTTTGTTGCACGTGCCGTCATCTGCATGGAGTAGAAGTCTAAGTCTATTTAACTCCTTACCTTCCAAGGATGACGTCTTTTCCAAAGCGCAAATGGCCCAATTAACTAGCCCATGCACTTTAGTGGCGAGAAACTCTTAGTCAAACTTTGGGAAAGCTTCGACCGCTTCCATCGCCAATCGCTTAGTCTTTCACGCCTTTTAATTGCATTCATCAATTCCCAACTATCCCTTCCCCCTTGACTATAAAATGGGAAAGGGCAATTAGCGGCCCGTCCATCACTTTCTGACTTCTTTGCCATGGCAAGTAAGTCTGAGGGCAAAGTCATCATCGACTTAACCCTCTCTGGGACGTCTTCTTCTTCAGATGATGACTTCTCCATCTCTCCAGCCCAATCCAACGACATGGCCGGGTTGAGTCCTGGCGAGTTCTCGAGACTTTATCCGGCGCCCCGCCTTCCTCCACCATCTCCTCCCAGTCCACTGTTAGGCGTGTCGTAGCACCTACAAATTAATTTATTCTTTTCCTTTACTTAGTTCCTTCTTGTAAAAATAGTATTTATTAAATCTATAGATAGGATAAGTAAGAGTCGATCCCACAAAGAGAGACATTTTTTAGGCTACGAAAATCGGTTTACTTTGTCACTTTTTATTGAGTGAAAACAACTATCTAAAATCTATAAACTAAATTAAAAGATGGGGGGTTTTGAAAAATTGTTTTCTAAATAAAGTAAAAAACTAACTAAAGTGACACACCACACCAGAACAAATCTCAAAACAAACCAAGGATAAAAACAGAACATAACTCCACCAAAAAGCCCAAACGAAGAAGACAAGCACACATAACACAATAATTTAGAGACTTAAACAATTTTAGAAAACCAACAAAATGTTTTATAATATAGAAAATAAATATCCA